GTCCAGCTCCCTGACTACTAGGCCCCCAAAGTTGTACTGGTTTATTCGAAATAAACATTACTTCATGACAACGTCTTCGCTTTACTGCCAAAAATCCCTTTCCCTCACTTTCTTCATCACTATCCCTTTTTATTCGGTTAGCGGTATGACCTTGACCTTGGCGTCTGCTTTTGCTGGTCTTGCTCTATTTTTGCTTTCCCCGAGTTTCCTTAGGCAGTAGGCAAAGTTATCGCTAACTCTACCTTCCTCAAATATCCTGTTCATTAGATTTTTTTCTCCAAGGATGTCAATGGCCTCCCTAATCTTCCGTGTCCGGTCTGTGCGATGTTTCGCAAGTTATGATCTTCAGGATCCATTTTTCTGCAGAGCCTCTGATGTTCCTTGATTCGTGTGCTAATTTTTCTTCCTGTTTCAACAATATATTTCTGATCGTAGGTGCCCCATAATATAAAGTAAGCTCCTGAACAATCCAATTTATCTACCCTTTCATCTTGCGTCGGTAGACTTGTGAAAAGTGTTGTTTTCTTTTACATGGCCACATGGATATTCCAATCACTCAAAGCAGGAAAAAACAATTTTATTGGTTTTCACACATTTAGCATTGCCTATTTACTTAACTCAAGTAGCTATACTTTATTCTTTATGTATTTAAATACTGTTTATCCGTAAGTATCATGATGGGAATTTGCCTCTTTGTTGGCGAAGTCCCCACTTCTGCAGCCCATATGGTTGTGCATCTGCAGTAGTTAACATTTTACAATGGCTAGTCCACATTGCTTTACCGTAATGTTAACAATTCAACAAAATTGAATTTTATCATTTATTCATTCTTATCTTTACTATTTTAGGTTTCGTATAGGAGCAGGCTTTTTAAGCTCCTTACAATAATAATGTTACTGTTATTTATTTCCCTCATAGCAAATCATTATCATAATAATATTGATATAATTTCAATAACCGTTACTCTCAAGGCAAATGACTCAATATGCCGACTTCCCTCTATGACAGGCACAATCATGGCGAAATACAAACCCAAAAGTATAGAATGTAATAATTCCCTTGTCCCTCCCATATATGTTGGCGAAAAGCAATGGCCCAAGGAACTACTGGCAAATAAGCACTGCTCAATTACTCCTTTTCAATGGGTTAATGATTTTGCTGTTGATGTTAATGAAACGCAAAGCAAGAGCTTCCATTTTGATGCAACCGGTAGCCTCAACGAAGATAATCTATTTACTTCATTTAATAAGCTACCAAATTGGCTTGCTGATTTTTACATGGTGGTCTGCAGCGATTCGAATACTAGCAACATGACATTCAAGTTTTACTATTTAACAATTTACATGAATGCCTCGAGGATAGCTCAAATAAATGCTGTGAGGAAAACGCATCGCAGTGATCAGCCCAATTTTTATTTATTAGGCATTGATTCTGTGTCACATGCTGCATTTGAGTATGTAATGCCAGAAACAAACAACTTTATCAAGAACGTAATGAACTCCACTATCTTTAATTTGTATAATGTTGTTGCAGATGGTACAACTTCAAACTTGCTGGCCTTATTAACCGGGCGAATTGAAGAAGAATTTCACGAAACCCGAAGAGGTTATGCTAATTCTGATACAGTGGACGAATTCAACTGGATCTGGCAGGAACTAGAGAAAAAACTAGGTTATGCCTCATTGTACTCAGAGGATATGCCTTCATTTGGCACATTTCAATACCGTCTTTTGGGTTTCCGGAACATACCAACCACGCACTATCTGCGCCCATTTTTATTAAAGGCAAAAGAATATAACTGGGCTTGCCTTGGCAGAGATTTAGAACATAAAATATTACTTTACTGGACTGAAGTATTTGTTGAGAAATACTCAAAATATGTAGGGTTGTCTCGAATTCCATGGTTTGCGTTTACTTTCTTATCTGAAATCTCACATGAGACTAATCCAAGCATAAAAGTTTACATGGACAATGACGTTGCAAATAATCTGCGCAATCTGTACAACCGAAAATTGTCGGTCGAAGGATTGGACAATACAATTTTACTTCTCTTCGCTGATCATGGTTCTCGATTTTCGAGATACAAAGGCGGAATTCAGGTATGCATACTTTGGTTAAATATTCCTCAATGTTTTGCATACTAGCACCAGCAATAGCGCTGATAAAACTTACTAGTACCACTTAACAATTATTCCGCAGCCTAAAATTATGCTGACCAATATGCGATTCTATCTTTTATCAGTAATTATTTCGTAAAAATGACCATAGTTTTCAAGTTAACTTGTTTGGACTTTGAGCTTTACAATAATCAATTAAGTGTATGATTTTTTTATTTTGGCATATAATGCTCGATGCTGAGGGGAATTTCAGTTAACCCAAAAACATTTAATAATAAAAAGGGTTTGATGGATCAGAAAAAGTGTCGGGATCTTTTACTTCGAGCGATGGTGGAATCACCTAACTTCTAGTCCACAATTATTTTGTGGTCAGTATTCTGTATAATCTTTTTTATCAGCCATACTATGAGCGAATGGGGAATCGTTTGATCAATCCGAATTTATTGAGGAAGCTTAAACTCTTAATTTTATATGAAGGTATGAAGACCAATATGGTGTGGCCTTTTGTGTGGTAGCAGTCTCCTTTCGTTTTATAGAAGTTGTTTGACCTTGTTTTCATAATTTGGTCATATTCGTGGGAAGACTTAGAGGAACGCACCCAGTCCGGAGTCCATTGTATGCATCATCATTTCCAGAGTAGGACCGTG